CGAACCCCCAGCTGCTCCCCGGGCGCCGCAGCATAAATGGCTGCCCACTGCTCCGGGTGTGTTCACGGTGTGTGTGTTCACTGCTGTGTGTGTGCACTTTGGATGGGATAAATGCAGAGCACTAATTCCAAGTATGGGTCACCATGCTTGGCCACATGTCACGTCACTTTCACTTTCACTTTCAAAATCTGTGTTCAAGAGGGTGTTTCAAAAATAGTTAATAAAAGACTCATTGTACTGTATAAATAAAAAAAAAAGATCAAAATTTGCTGTAATTTTTATTGTAATGATGTTTTTGGAAGTGAAAAGGAATCCCTGTCCCTTTGTGACACATTGCATTTGATGGGGTTTCATTGAAAAAATATGAAACAATGCTTTTTCTCATCAGTTATGTACATTAGGGTTTATTGTTACATCTGTGCTGTTAAACTATAACTTTTTAATAGGCTACTTCAGTAGGTTGTTATTTTAACATTAAATTTCAGTTCTATTCGTAAAACCTAAAATGTTGCTACCATTTTTTTTTTTTACAGTGTAACTGTTCATAGATTGACTGAAGCATATACTTAGACTCTTCACATCAAACCTAAGGGTGTGTGTGGATTTTGAGCATTCAGCTTCTTCAGTGTGTTAATCACTGTTAAATGTGTAGAGGTCATAATGTAGAGTGGTCTGTAACAAAACACACGTACACATTCTGAAATGAGTATGCTGTATGTGAACCTGATGCTGTGGATCTGTCTTCTGTAACTCGCACGTGTTCTCATAAGCATGTGCATGTATGTTCATTCATGCACACACACGTTGTGTACTTGATAAGGCATGAAAATGGCTTGAGATTTTTGTTAAATGTGTTGCTCCATTTCTTCTGTGTGTGCCTCGTAAGAGTTGATTTAATTTCTGAAACTGATTTCTCGTCTGCAGAGCTATTGTCATGATTTGCTACAGATATGTTCTGTATTCTTGTTATCTATTATTATCGTATGGTTTCAGAGAAGTAACAGCGTTTAAACTATTAAACTTCTCCACTATCAACAAAAACTGGGTTCTGACTGAGGCTATGGCTGCATGAATTTTAGGTTGTGGCGTCATCTGCTGGATAGCAATACAATTACACAGAATAAATAATAAAGACTACATGATTTAGCCAAACACAGCAAAATAGAAAATAAAATGCCACCTTTAGAGAGATTCTAACGTCAATTTCTACTGTCACTGTGAAAAATCAGTATGAGCACACTGAATGTGCCTGGTCTCATGACATTTAAATAACAATTACAATGACAGTTACATTTTAAACAGTGGTCTCTAATCTCTGCAGTTCACTTATCATGTGAATTGTGCTTTTTGTATGGCCCATTCTCAGAAAACAATGCCATTTGTGCTTAAAGATTTCAGTTTTTTTTTTGTTTTTTTGTTTTTGAAAAGCTACTGCCAAACTGACTATTTGACCAAAAATACAGTAAACAGTAGTACTGTGAAATATTATTTCAATTTAAATATCTAACCTAACTGTTTACTGTTTTAATATATTTTAAATGCAATTAATTCCTGTGATGTCAACGCTGAATTTTCCAGTCTTCAGTGTCTTATTATCTTTCAGAAATAATTCTAATTTGCTGATTTGGTGCTGAAGAAACATTTCATATTATTATCAATATTGAAAACAGTTGTGGTGCTTAACATTTCTGTGATACTTTTTCCAGGATTCTTAGATGAACAGAAAGTTCCAAAGAACAGCATTTATTTTAAATGTATATGTTCATATTGCAAACATCTTTACTCTCGCTTTTGATCAATTTAATGTATCCTTGCTGAAGAAAAGTATTTATTTCACAAAAAAAGGGGGGAAGAGAAAAAGAAAAGAAAGAAAAATCTTGCCCCAAATTTTTTAACAATATATAAACAACAAGATAAACTTCATAAACTTGCAACGTGCACACAGCTCAGACTCATTCAGAGTTCTCACATAAAATCTTTCTGCTTATAGTGGTCTCTATAAGGCAAGACTGTCTGAGGTTATTGGGGGTCAAAGGGGTTAAAGGTGAGGTGAGGGGAATAGGGATTGTGAGCAGAAACAGGAGTTGGTCTAAAGATCATGCAGACTATTCTCAAACACTCTACAAATAACTGAGGGACTATTTCAGCAGATCTTTTGTCTTCATCTATAGCTTTGTTTACTTTAACTCTGGGTCTGAACATACTTGGCCTTTCACTATCAGTCAATTTGCATGTGTACAATCAATTATTATTCATGCACAGAACCTAATTTTCACCTAATGAAGCTGTTTGCTCTTTTTAATTCCTCTGTAGAGAGTGTGAATGTGTGTGTAGATAATAGTTTATAATAACTGCCAAAAGGTGTCAAGTCTACATCCTTTCTCCACATGCGCATATATCGGGTTGGCCTATGAGACTGAGGCTAGAACAATACCAGCTCCCAGCACAGGGAGCGGCTGCTAGCATGCAGCGCTAACCTTTTCCTTTAGGGGATAATCTGTTGCCTTAACAAAGACACTGGCAAATTTTTGCCTCCGTTAAAGAGGGGGATGGTGGGGTAAAGAAGCAAGGGAGTGGGAGAAGAGGAGCGAAAAAAGAACTGAGGAGCAGAGTGGGGGATTTGGATACTATTGGCATGTCTTTGGGCTACAGCTTTTGTGTCAGTGAGCTGTGGTGATGCTCAGAGAGGGTTGAGTCTAGAGTTTAAATACCCAAACGATGTAAAAATAAATTAAATGTGAAAATATTCCAGTATTATAAAATAATGAAAACATTAGGTAATAATAAAACAATGTTACATGAACATCATTGTTCATTAATACATAACCTACTAAAATACATCTACATTTAAAAATGTATTAGATTATTTGGTTTTGTTTGGTCGGAAAGACTAGATAGATAGATAGATAGATAGATAGTGTTAATTTTATTTAATATTTCCTACATAATTTTCTTATATTTATACCTTATTATAGGTAGTCCTATAAAAAATACATGTATATTTTTTCTATATTATTATTATTGTTGTTATAGGTCCCATTTCATTTCATTTTATTACTGTTAGTATTATGCAATTGTCTATATGCAAACCCTCCCGGCAGAAAAGAAGAGAGTATGATCTTTCTTTCTGAATGGGGGGTGGAAGAAAGAAAAGAAAATCTTTTGTTTTTCATGCAAGGAATTGTCATGTATCCTTTATGCAGTAGGAGGCGCCCGAACGCAGTCTGAGTTGAGTGTGTCCATGTGCTTCTTGAGAGGTGTGTGGGGGTTCTTTGTGTGTGTAAGTACTGTTCACTATAAGCTTTTTGACCACTTGACTGGCTGTTTTGACTGACCAGATTTGTACAACAGATGTCCAGAGCTGTTAATAGAGCGTAGCAGGCTCAAATGTGTGCCTCCCAGACTTTTATATTTAGTAAAAATAAACCGAATGTACCCAACAGTTCTGGCCAGTACAGTAATAGAAAATGCTGAACTGGTTGTTAGGACAACAATCACTGTTCCAGAACTCACATTTCTCCACCTTTCCTGTATGTGTGTGGGGGTTTGATGATGACGTAATACATCCAGTTACCATCTCAGCTGTACACACTTTCATGTTACAAAAGTACTAAAGACAACCACTACATTCCTACATTAGTGGACCTTTTCTTTGTCTTTAGCCTTAATCATGCATGCATGTGAGGAGCACACCAGACACATTTCTCTTTTAGCATTGACACTTTTTACTGTAATACATAAACTTTTTACTTTCTATATCTACAAATGATCTTGTACACCGATAGAGATTGAGATATTTCGGCATGATATGACCTGATAGACATTTCTCCACACAGTGTTGGATGTGCACTGGTCATTTGCGTAGATGTGTGATGCCCTATAAGGTCAAGCATTAGATAACACCTCTACTCGTCTATCGTTCACGCTGTGCTCTCAGTGAGGAGTGTGTTGGGTGGCCAGGGGGTGGAGGGGTGCATGGATGGACTCTGACGTCAACACAGCCATTAACTGCTCTGTACTAAACCACAAATCTTCCATGTGAGTGCAAAATCCAAATGGCAAAAAAAATCTTGGCTCCACAAGAACAATAGATGTGGCTATATTGCCAGAACAAAAGTAGCAGAGTTGGAATTTCTGACTGAAATCATATAATAAAAAGAAATGCATGAACAGTTCTCCAACAAATGTAAATTATACAACACTGATCACTGATTCATGAGACATGGACAAAAGAACTACATGTAATTAGTCTGTGGAATAGATTAATTGAGATAAAAACTTTTACTGAAAAAATCCACTTTGAAATTAATGAAATAACTATTTAATTTAATATAATCAGTAACACTTTACTTAAAGCCCTTATGTATAATGGATTATAAAAGTAGTTTTAATGCATTAATTATGCCTTGTAATGCAACTTATAATGCATTGTACAATCTCATGAACCACAGTTAATACATTATAATACTTATAAATTCATTGTAACACTATGCATTTTAAATTTGGTTATAATTATTTACGACAAGATAAAGGCTAATGTATTACAACACACATTATGAATAATTATAATGCATTATACCCTTTATAAACCTTTAATGCATTATACATGAAGGATTTAAGTAAAGTGTCACCATATAATGTTGTAAAGAAATTGTTTGGGACTTTTGGGAAAAAACAAAGCTTTTTTTTTTTTTTTTGGACTGGTGATGATTTATTGGGCAAGGGAAAAAAAAGAAATTGTGGGAAAATGGGAACAGAATAATATTAGGCCCATATCATTAATACAAATATTCTATGACACAAACTTTCATTTTCTTTCATTAGGTTTTGTAGCCTCTTTTGCACCAGGATGCAAAACAAGAATCAGTGACACCTCAAATCTGGTAATTTTATTACTATTATTTTAATGAATTACATTTTATGTTTTAGTTCCATTTTTTTATATTGCATTGGTTTCAAATAACTGTTTTATAGAACTTTCTAAGTAGGCCTACTATTTGATGGATAGGGACTGGCTACTGTCGTTACCGGGGGACCGGCTCGGGTGGGCGCCGCCTAAGGTATTAACATGTGATGAGGAGTACGAGGGGCTGCACAAGTTTGACCCATTGGACATTTTGGGGAATCTGGGCTCTATCGTTATCAAAGACTGCATGTGGAGTGGCTTTTCCACGAGTCACCGGCTGGAAAAAGTGGCTCATGGCGAGCGAGCTCCGGTGACTGCTCCGATTCAGACCTCGAGCGCACAGAAAGCTGCTCGTGCCGCATCGGGCACACCCGTGACCGGGACCCAGGCGTCACTGTGCGTGAACCCCGCCGCAGTCCTGGAGCTCCCTGTCCCTCATAACAAGAAAGTGGCTGCGGGCTCCTCCGGTTCTGAGTGTCGCTCTGAATCATCCGGTAAGACTACATGTTATTACCTCCCAGCATTGATGGCATGAGTTGATATGTACTTCAGAATAATGCTGAGACAATGAGGTGATAGTCTGCTGTATAACATGTGTTATGAAGATGGAAGTTAACCAAGTAATTAATATGTAACTTGCGGTTCAGACCAGATTTGGCAGTTGGTTAGTGTAGATCTCCAAAGAAAATTGTTCCACAAGAAGCCAAAGCCACTTGCCGACTAAAAGCCGATGTGGATTGTGAATTTGTGGAGCGGATTCCATTCCTCTCCCCAAAGTACTGTAGTCCATTCCATCTCCTCACCCAGTTTTTCCTACTCCCTGTACAGTAGTGAGGGGAAACTCGGCTCCTTTCACCAGAGACACTTAACTTCATAAAACAATTTTTGCTGCAGGCAAGCTAATGCAACGTTTCCATGTAAAGAATACTTTCTGACTTTATTATTTGTAGTATTTATGTAAAATTGTATTTTAAATTATCTTTTATTTAGTTGGTTGCAAAGAAATCATTATTTATGCGTTTAATGTATTTTATTTGTACAATTTTAGTTACGAAAACCATTTTTAATCGTTTTAGCCAACAACAACAGCACTGCTCCCACATCCAAATCAGTTTTGGGAATTTTTCTTTATTATAATGGGTCTTTGAAGTAATTTGGTAGTTTTAAATAGTTTTGCCATTTAAAATGACCACAGAAGTTGAAAAATGTAAAAAATGAAAGTTTAAAAACGAAACCAGCTCATGTAGCTGTAGCGATGGAATGCAACTTCCTTGCTAAGAACCGTAAAACATTCAACAGATTGACTTGAGGTGAAGTGAATAAACCACTACAACACATTGGTTAATTTCTATGCAGTGGATGCATTGATTGCTATTTGTTTGATTCCATGTCAGTTTTTTTTTTTTTTTTTTTGGTTTATGTTTTGAGTCTGATCAAGTGTTTTCGCATTTGGAAAAGATTTCTCAATTGATTTGAAATGCTTTTGCTAAATGTGCCAAATGTTTTATTGCCTCAGATGAGGATGATGACGAGATTGACGTGGTGACAGTAGACAACCGACCAAAACGTGGCCGCCCTCCAAGTCGCCGTACTCCAGTAACCATTACAGTGAGTGCTGATCCATTTGGACCATGTCCCAAGCGCTTCCACGTGTCTCTGCATCGGCAGCAGCACAATTACGCTGCCCCCTCCCCTGACACGGATCCTGAGGATGACTTTGATGAGATGGAGTCTGAGAGCAAACGGCCACATCTGGAGCCTTCATCCTCTCCCTCATCTCTACTTTCTTCACCTGCCACATCGGACTCCGAGGACTCCAGCGAGCAGCGTCGGAACTTTCTGGAGAGAAAGAGGAGAGACGACCTTCGCTCGAGGTTCCAGGCGCTCCGGGAGGAGATTCCAGGTTTGTCTGTATCCTCAAAGACCTCGAAGGTGGCGATTCTGAAGCAGGCGACGGAATACCTGCTGCAGCTGCATGCGCGCCAACGGCGTCAAGCTCAGGAGAAGAGAAAACTCAAAGCCAAACAACAACAGCTTCTCCGCAGGATCAGTGTATTACAGAACTCCTAAAGAAAAAAAAAATCTGCTTTAACACGGCACAATATTTCCAAAGCTCATTATGGACGAGTTTTTGTCATTCACTGAAATGACACTTAAAACACTGCAGGGAGGTCTTTAAAACCACATTGAATTATGCCCTTCTTGAAGGGATCTGTACATGTGTGTGCTGGGCTTTAGACTTTAGTTGAGATGTGGAGAACTTTGTGTGAGGAGATGATGACAAATGTGCACATGCAATGCCTTTATAAACCTCAGCGGATGGCGATGCAGAGGAAGTTATATTGATGAATTTACCTCCGTAGCGAGAAGGGTGGGTGGTGTTTGTATGCATGTGGGTGGTGTGTAGGCTGTATAATGTGAGGGGAGCATGGTGTTCGAAAACGTTGTGTAGAAAATTTGAAGTGTCTTGTTCATAACATGATCTGTACAAAATCTGCTGTAAATACTGTATTCAGAGGATGTTCTCCTCCTGTATCTACTCACGAACTGCACAGAGATTCTATTTTGTTAAAGAATAAAGCATCTAAAATGATGTGGCTTTCCCTGTTATTTTTGTTTGTTTTAATGAAATTTGAGGTATTCTTTCTAGTTCCTGATCTAGCATAGGTGGCATAATTACACTAAAGGAACTGGAACAAAATCCATCTAATAAAAATGTGGTTTAAGCTTATGTAAAGTTCTTGATTAACCTGGTAAAAAGTTGATTCAGAAATTAGATGTTTGTCTTGCACTACTTGATCAGTCTTGTGCAGCAAAACGATTAAGATAAGTTTTTCAGATCCTTCCCTCTGTGTGCCTGCTGTTAAAGCAGAAAGAGGAAGTAGCCTGGATATTTACTGAAAAACAGGTAGTTCAAAAATCACCTTTACCCCCGTTATCCTGAACAACAGGTTAAACGGCGAAACCGTAGAGGTGTGAAAACTGACTTGTGCTTATGGGAGTATCATTTTACTTACAATTTTAATAAAAACTAAATTTGTCAGTCACATACGGAAGCTTATTCACTCCCTCGCATGTACTTTAAATGCAGTCACACATGTCTCATTTGTTCAAATGAATTCTTCAATCTGCAGAAGTGGGAAAGGTGCATTTTGGGATGCAGGAAGCCAAAAGAGGAAGTGATGTAAGCAGCACTATGCCTTTTCCTGTATATTTGAATTTCTTCACCACATTGGGATTAGTTTAGTGTGTTACAAAACTTTCTATTTAAAAAAAAAAAGCTGTTCTTTTGAGCTTTATTCATCAACACATCCTGAAAAAAGTATCATGGTTGCCACAAAAGGTTGGAAAATGAGCCTATTTTGAAAAATAGTGGAGTGTTCCTTTAAGCAGCTCAACTGTTTTCAGCACTGATAATAAATGTTTCTTGAGCACCAAATCAGCATATTAGAATGATTTCAGAAACATCTTGTGACACTGAAGACTGGAGTAATGGTTGCTGAAATTTCAATTCTAAATAATTTTTGTAATTTCATTTTTTAACTGTGATAGCATTTAACAATATTAATGTTTTACTGTTTTAAGGTGAAAAAAAAGAGTAAAAAGTGTTATGGGTGAAGTTAGATATGAAACTTGCCTGCTACTGGGTTGTGTACTGTTCCCACTGTTAAAAATTGTAACTTTATCTACTAGACATTTTTGTTATGGTGCAGCTATTATTGGTGTGTTTATTTTCCATCAGTGCTAAAAAGGTCATATCACTCTCCCTTTTATTCAGTCTATTACATAAGAATCCACACATAAACAGTGTCTCTCTCTCTCTCTCAGACATAGAGCCCATACCGGCACCATCGCTGCCAACCACTGACCCAGATTCCATTCCCATAGAATCACGTAGACAGCTCCAAACAACCGGTGACCCACTGATCCTAATGAAGCTAATCTATGCCACACACACTCACTTATTTCATTCCCACTTCCTAATCCCTGTCTGTGTTTCTTTCTCTCTTCAATCTCTTTCATTTCTCTTTTTCTCTTTGTCAGAGAGTTATGTAACTGCAGTTACATAGAGAACAGGCAGTGTTTATGCCTCTCCCTCTCTCAGTCTGTCTCTCACCTCACTGTCTGTGAACGTTTTGGTCTGGGTGTGGCACAGAAGCAAGTTTATTGCATTTTACTTGCTCTGGAGCTCAGAATCCAAACATTGCTTTTTTTTAAAATAAATCAGCAACAGCCTTTATTGGGTGTGCTTTTGGCTCAAATCTCTGATCTGAAGTAACCTTAATCTCATTGGTTTATACACTAAAGCCATCTGGCTACAATACACATCTTCACTTTGCCACCAAAATATATAAAGACACTATTAGACGCCGTTGGCACAAAATCAGAATGGACCCTATATATATATTTAATGCATGTTACTGGTGATATTGTAAATTATTCATCTGTGCATTCCTTTTCTTAGAACATTTTTTGACAATCTTTAATCATAACTTGCTCTTCCTGTGATACTCACTTCTCTCTGCTGATGGATACAAGGCCACACTTCAGTTAAACCAACTGCAGTCAGATCTGCCTGTATACCAGTATGCAACACTTCAGATTTTTCTCTTGTTTGATAGCCATTTCACTCAGAAATACATACAATATGATAGTAGTCAGAGTCGGTCACACTTAAATTTCATGCTGACTCTAAATGCATGCCAAAAAGATGTAAGATATAGTGACCTTTTCAATAATTGTCGAAACTCTCACTGGCCATGGAGTCATTGGGCCATCCTTATTATTGGAAGACTTTTAATTAAATCAAGATTATCTGATGAACTACAGCTAAATTAAATTGCTGCCTTAAATGCAGGAAATACATGCCTGTGCTTGATTTTTTGCACATAAAATTGAAAGTACACTGAAAAAACAAAACAAAATTTGTGTAAATTTCAACACATTGAATTAAACATTTTGGAGTAGAAAAACTGAAATTGTATATTCTTAAAATATACCCCAATCTTTGTTTTATTTACAACTGCAATTGTAACAGTTGAGGGTGGGGAGGGGGCATTAGATTTGGTGAGGGGTCTTTGTCTATTTGGGGTTTTGTCTTTAATGAGATTTTAGATTCCCAGCCATCAGACCAAAGCTTCAATTATCGGCTGCACTATAATGTCAATGCATAATCACTGAAGCCGTTTACAGTTTGCCTGAATGCAGTATTAAATTACAGGAATTCTGTGCAAGCTGGATATAATTGGTATAGAGACCAATTATACAACATAATTTCTAAAAGACAATAGAACAATAATTCTTACATATGTGAGGGTGTGTTAGGCAGCTAGGTAAATGCTTTAAATTACCCTAAAGAAAATGGAAAAAAGAGAGGAAAAAGGTGCTACTGAATCTGTTATGGATCTGCATGCATTTTCTCTTTATATGGGATCTATTCAGCATGTACAAAACCAAGAACTGTACTTTTGTGGTGTATATTTACCTTTTATTGTATTTTTGTACTATGCAAGTACTATAAAGCTGTACTTAAATGATTCTCAGACTTAATGCATATTTATTTTAAAACTTTTTAAAATAATGTAAAAAATAAATGTGTTTTACCTAAATACAGTCACCTTGACCAATGTTAGCTGAATATAGGTCAGTAGTGTGGGGAGAGGGAGTGCACTGGCTGACCTCAGCACAAACATGCCATATTGTTATGTAACTCTCTTCTCTTCCCATGTGTGTGTGGGGTGGGGGGGGACAACATTAAATATTATTTTAATATCTTAAAAACCAAAGCAGCACAAATTATTTTTTTACGGCACAAACGGATCACAAACAAACACATAATTAAATCAATTTGGAGCGTGTGGGGGGCTGGTGACGTCATCGACCCTAAAATTCAATGTCAAATATTTTAAAAACTGAAGCAGCACAAACGAAAATTGTTACGGCACAAACCAGCACAAACGAAGCGCTAACGATTGAGACTATTTTGGGTGAATTTGGAGCGTGTAGGGGACAACATTAAATATTATTTTAATATCTTAAAAACCAAAGCAGCACAAATTATTTTTTTTACGGCACAAACGGATCACAAACAAACACAGGTATTTGGGGTAAATTTGGAGCGTGTAGGGGGGCTGGTGACGTCATCGCCTAAAATATAATGTTTAATATTTTAAAAAACAAAGCAGCACAAACGAATTTTTTACCTGCACAAACCAGCACAAACAAACGAGACTATCTCGTGTGAATTTGGAGCGTGTGGGGGGGCTGAGTGACCTGAGAATGACCTTTAAATAAATATTTTATATCTAACAAACCAAAGCAGCACAAACGAAAATGTTTACAGCACAAACGGAGCACAAAAGATTGAGACTATTTTTGCGACGTTTTGCGTTGGGTGGGGGGCCAACTTCACGGAGGTTGCCCACACTCTTTTTCTCGCTCTTGTTTTTTTTTTAGATTCATACTTTTAATTTTCAAGCTTTTTGGCAGAAAATAAAATTAGCTTGAATCCGCAACGCATTAATAAGCATTTTATATACATGCATAGTCTATACATAAACAATCTAATAAACAAAAGCAATTTCTCTGTTTTCATCTCACCAACCCATTGATGATCTCACAAAAGCCATGCAGTGTGATATTAGTTGATCCGATGCTGCCCTCTGGTGGAACAAAGACGCATAAATAATAGTCTCGATTGGAGTCGAGTCACAGATCCTTCATCGTTTCTGTTGTTTGTGCTGTTATGAACCGTTTTATTGTTTTATTGCCTACAGATCACGTGTATTCGTTTTTATTTAAATTCATAACAATGAGCATCAATTTTTAGTGCTTTACATTCAAGGGATAGTTAACCCAAAAATTCTGTCATTATTACTTTATTTGTAAATCCGTGTTCACGTTTATTGTATGGAAAAAAATATATAATGAAAGTAAATTGTGACATTGTAACATCTAAAAATAACAATTAAAAACCTTTAACTCTCTAGAAAAAGTGTAGAGCGAAATACTCTATGACGAAAACAACACAGACACTTTTAATATTTTAATATTTAAAATGCAACAGCAATAGTATACGCTGACAATTTTTTTTTACGTCTTATTGTCTACTGGTAAAAGGGTTAAATGGGGTCATATTTGGCTTCATAAGTTGTCTGCGTCAACGGCTTTTCTCCATTGGATGATTTGGATGTCTATCAAAGGAACATCCACTAGGACGACACAGCGCGACGCGCATTGCTATTGGTCGATTCATATGATCGCCCCGCCTGACGGGCGCCGAATCTTGCGTTTAATTGGCTGAGACAGCGCAGTTTAAATTTGAACCGTTTCAAACAGGGTAAATGTTATAAACGCACGGCACAGGGATTTCCCTGTGTGTCACGTTGTCTTTCTCTGAGAAGAAAACGGTTTATGTGTTAGATTTGAGCATCCTGAATAAGGTACAGTATTTTAGGAAACCGTATACAAATTTATAGGAGAGCGATAATGAAATATTGCGCGATACTAAACAGTAAAAGTAACGGTATTGACTAATTTGCTAGTGCTACTAGGACGTTGATAACTGCGCATATAATGCTGCCATGTTTAAAT